ATTAACTGGGCTTCCCTGTAGGCGCATGGATATTATCCTATCACAGACAGCATTGTACCTCATGACTGATCTGGATATGTTCTTTTTGTCAATGAATGCAACACCATTCTTCTTCAATTTGTCATTTTGTCAGATTCAAAATGGCCAATACCAATCCACTCAGCTCACTAATGCCGAAGATATTGATGTTTATGAGTTCCATTTCATTTTTGACAATTTCCAATTTTCCTAGATCCATACTTCATTCCATGTTCCAATTATTAATGGATGTTTACAATGTTTACAGCTGTTTCTCTTCATTTTGAGTTGTGCCCATCAGCAAATGAAGGTTTCGTGGGCTTTACTCCATTCGTGTCATCATGGTCACCTCTACTTTGAGGAGGCAGCTCTTCCCCAGTTTCATTTTGAGTGCCTTCCAACCTGAGGGGCTCTATATCTGCCAGTATTTCTCTGCTATTCATAAGGTTTTCAGTGACTAAACATTCAGAAGCAGTTCATCATTCCTTCTTCCTAGTCTGTCTTCATCTGGAAGCTCATCTGAAACCTGTCCACCATGGGTGACCCTGCTAGTATTTAAAATACTGGTGGCATATCTTCCAGATTCACAGGAACTCACAAGCCACCACAGTATGACAAACTGACAAGACAAGTGGTGGGCATTTTTCAACAAATGCTATAATACTGTAACTCCCCAAGTAGGTTAAATTAAAATTTTTTAAGAAGTCGTTTGTCTTTTCATGTTTATCCTAAAATCCTCTCAAGCACCTTTCCCATTCCCCTTCACTTTATAATTCTGAAACTGTGAAAGGAAGACTAGACAGTGTCAGGAAGGACTCTTACATGGGGTGTTATGTTTCTACTATCACTGGACACTCATTACAGATGCCGGGAGGGCCACACATACGTTTCCTTCTCATGAACATATATATTTACTGTGGTCTGCTTCCTCACAGCACTTCTGTGGCTTAAGGAGCCCTAGTGATATGAAGTGCTAACCAAATGGTCCACAGTTTAAATCCACCAGCTACTCCGTAGGAGAAAAGACTTGATGATATGCTTAGGTAATACAGATTGCTGTTGTTGTTGTGTGCCGTAGAGTAGATTCCAGCTCACAGCCTAAGAAACCCTGCGTACAGGCAGTTCAACTCTGTCATGTAGAGTTGCTATGATTTGGAATCTGCTTGTTGGTACGTAACAAGTAACAACAGCCATCTGTGGTTCCTAACTGGACTTAGATTCACATGGCCCACAATACATCTACTGTATTAAACTAAATTTCTCAAAACCAGATGAAGCTGTGTCCTAATGCCCAGATGTCCCATTGTTTTGTTGTTCCTAGAAGCATACAATTATCAAATGTTCAGGCATGCAATTTGTACATTTTATTAAAGAATGAATGTGTAAATAGTTAAAATAATTGCTTTCTTTCCTAGACTAGGAAACACATCCCACTGTTGAACACATATACACATGCAGATATGGATATAGGTATACATGTACAGATAGATATCGATCTGGGTTTTGTACACATTTATGTATTTTGTGTTGTTCAACAGAACAAAGACAAGTCCCCAAAATAATATGTGACTTTACCTCTGACATTGTCCATGTACCCACCCACTGCCACTGAGTCCATTCCAAATCATAGGTACCCTATAGGACAAAGTAGAACTTCTCCTTAGGGCTTCCTAAACTATAAATCTCTGCAGGAGCAGATCGCCTCAGCTTTCTCCCAACAAGCAGTTGGTGGATTTGAACTGCCAGCCTTGTAGTTAGCAGTCCAACACTTAACCCGCTGCATCACCAAGTTTCCTTTGTCCTGTGTACATTCATTAAAAGTATGTGCATGGTTTTTTAGCACACAAAAAAAGCAGTCTTTTGAAAATAATAGTAAGAAATGCTTAAATATGAATTGGGGGCACTAATGAGCGATTGCAGAAATTAACACTTGGGAATATTCGTTGATGAGAGCATTGGGTAGCTTTTGCTTGATACAGATTCTAATAAGATATTTGGAGAAAAGAGAGCAGAATCTCTCTCTGAGCTTAAATGATATACTCAAAATGCCTGCCTGTTGTGAGGCTTTCTCAAATGCTGAACTGAACTGTGTTTCATTACAGCCAAACATCAGCAGGATCCCTAGGGTTTGGATCATTTGAAAATATTGTGTTGGAAAGGGCACCTTAATAACATCATAAAGCTGGAAGGAAAGACGGGATATGGAGAGCAATAGACATTTTTTTAATCTCAAAAAGAAAAACCTATCTCGAGTTAGATTTGTTTTTATATTGACTTTTCCTCTCCCCTCTTTCTCTCTGTTATACAATAAAATGCCTTTGAAATATTGACACATAAATAATTCCTTGCCTAAACATCTCAGAACCTGATTCCATAAAAAAGAAAAGAATAAAAGTTAAGTTCCAGCAGCAGGTTCCTAGAGAAAACACAACCCTGCGTTTGCTCTGCTTGAATCTGAGGGGCCTCCTCACAACCAGGACTCAGTGCTGCTCTTGTCTCCTCCCTCTTTCTTTGTTCTTTGTTACTTTTTCTCACCTGCTGATTTTTAGGTTGGCAGTCTCCCCCCTTAGCATTGCTGAATTCCAAAATTCATATTATTTTTTAGAGAAATAAATCTCCAAATAATCTCTAAGTGAAAAACTACATTTTTCCTCCCCCCTTTTACATAGGGAATAGAATTTTCTCACATCCTTGAGTTTCTGATAATTCTCATTTCTCTCTTTCGCCTTTCAAATCAGACTCCTAAATTATATGCTGGAGTCTTGCAAAGGTTAAGGAAAAGAAGAAGCTATCAAAGAAGCAATGCAAGACCATTGGACTGGTAGAACAGAGAGTCAGAAATGCCAAAGAAATCACTAGAGAAGTGGAGCTTTTTTTCTCCCTCCAGCTATAATCTGCAGCCTTGCTAGTTTTAATAGTCTCATGTTCTATAGAAGAGTCCTGTACTAAATATATCATTTTAAATAGATTTGAACCAAAGAGATCCCCAACCCCATGGGTAACCTAGATATTAGGCAGGTGAGAAAGCACAGTTATAGTTGACATTCAGGAGTCCAAATGCACCTTTTCAAATCTGTAGGGGTCTTTTCAAGGTTCCAGAAGGCATGTTTATTAACGTGGCTTTCTTCTTTTAGTGACAAATCAAAAGAATCCAAACTAGAGTTTATATGTGCATAGACTGTGGCATATCTAGGTGTATAGAAGCGTCCAAATTTAAAATGTCCCCTGTCCTACCTTAAATTAATATATTTCTGTGTGTAGTGTCTACTCTTCTAAGATGTGTGTATTTCTCTGCTAATGTAGCACTATTCTAAGTAGCACTGTGTGCCAGTGAGTGTGGATTTGTGTACCTGTGCATGTTTTGTTTCACGTGTTCTGCTCTTCTCTCCCTCTCTTGCCGCTGTCTCCGTCCCTGCTTCATCAGAGAGAGCTGCAGGTCTTTGCTGCCGCCTAGTAGTACCCTGTCACAAAGGGATGCCAAGGCTTACCGATCTGTCTGTCAAAACCAAAGATGTCTGGGAAATCCCTCGAGAATCCCTGCAGTTGATCAAGAGACTGGGAAATGGGCAGTTTGGGGAAGTATGGATGGGTATGCTGAGACTCAATTATTCTATTATTAGCTTCCTCGTTTGGGTAATCCCAAACATGAAAGATGGAAGGTGAAAAATAAAGACTCTGTGAGCAGGGAAAAAATTCAATTATCAACCTTGGGGAATGAGGATTTTAATTTCAGAATTCTGGGATTTTGAGAAAAGAAATAGTAAATGATCAAGATTGCAGGTCGGCTCAAATTATACTATTATATGATCCTCAATTCATAACCAGTAAATAGTTCAAGGAATAATCCAGCCTGCAGAAAATGTCTGTTCTGCCTTTCCAACTGCAAATATTTGTTGAATAAACTTAGTGTTGCTCTGAAGAGCAGGTCACCTTCCATCTTTGCTAGTGCATGCATAATTGTGGATTGTAAGCACTGTGTTTTTTTTTATTAATTCCCTTTCCTGTAGAGAAAGCTGATGGTTTGTGTTTTAACTTAACTGTGATTGCATCGAGTTGTACCCCACAAACTTCTGGATTGGCTAAAGATGCTTGGGAAGTTGCACGTGATTCGTTGTTTCTGAAGAAGAAGCTGGGTCAGGGGTGTTTCGCTGAAGTGTGGCTTGGTAAGGCAGAGGGCACATTTTGTTTTGGCTGCATCTTAGAGCCAACTAAAAGGACGGTTTCCAACAAAACCACAAATCTTCATGCACAGCCATTTGGACCCAGACACGTAACCTGTAGCTGGACGGTCTCAAGCCATCCAGATTGTCAGAATGTGATTCCTTGCTGTGCACATCTGTCCTACTTCATGTGGTTAATTAAGGCACGCACAGAACAGGAAACCAATACAATATGAGTCTGGTGTTTCTTCTTTCTAAGAGATGGGAAGGTAAGATCCAGTAGATGGGCTATTGTAGGGCAAGATGATGAGCTTTTTAAAACTCATTGTGCCTGTTGTATCTGATTGAATAACAATAAGCAAGTGGCTTATTAACTCTTGAGCCTCAGTTTTCTCATCTGTAAAATTAGAATGATATCTACTTCATAAGATTGCTTTGAGGATTGCAAGGGACAGTATGTTTAAAGTGCCTGCAGGGGTCAGTAGACACATACTGCACTGGCCCTTCCCCAGTACTTTTGGGTCAGTAGCAACTTTGTTTTCAGACAGTACATCAGTTTAGACTCCACCCAAAAACATCTGTAAGAGAACATTTGATTGTGATGTTTGTGAAATCCTGCTTCCTTTTGTTGTTGTTGTTAAGTGCTGTCTAGGCAGTTCAAATTCATAGCAACCCTATGTAGGGTCTCCAAGGAGTGACTGGTGGATTTGAACTCATGACTTTGTGGTTTGCACTCCAGTGTTGATCCTACAGCATGACACCAGGAGTCCTTCTTCCTTGTTGTTGTTGTTGTTGTAGTTATGTGCCGTGGAGTCGGTTCTGACTCATAGTGACCCTGACAGGGTTTCCGAGGCTGTAAATCTTTACAGGAGCAGAAAGCCTCATCTTTCTCCCGTGGAACAGCTGGTAGTTTCTAACTGCTGACCTTAAGGTTCGCAGCCCAATTCGTAACCACTACGCTACCAGAGCTCCTTAGAGCTCATTAAAAACAATATAGATGGTACTTTTTGTTATGTATGGGTGTGGTATTTAAGTATGGTCTGAATTAAAAGAATTGATACACGTAAGCACTTAGAATAGAGCCTGGCACATCATAAGTGTGAAGATAAAGAGCTATAGAGATACACACACATACATTCATACATAAACATACAAGGATAAGTCAAAAAGCATTGCTACTAGCATTTCAGTTCATAGATTGTTCCAAACAAACCGTGTTTAAACATGTCTCTGCAATCAGTAGATAGCTGCAGACAAGTTCTCTCAGTAATACACTTGTCTTAGTCTAGTTGTTGTTGTTGTTGTTATCTGCCGTGGAGTTGATTCCGACTCATAGCGACCCTGTACAGGGTTTCCGAGGCTGTAAATCTTTATGGGAGCA